GGTTTGGTGCAGAGAGTATCCTTTCTCCCTGCTTCCTCCTTCCCCATCTCCTTCCTCTGGCCCAGGATAGCCAAAACAATAGGACACAAACAGCACGTACTGAAATGACTTTTAATATCTCATGTCGCAGCAAAATTAAAAATATACAAAAAGTTTGTGGTGTACAAAAGAGTCTCAGTACAGAAGTCCCAGCTTGGGGCCCCTTCCCCCTCCTGGGGGAAGGGCAGAGGGGTGAGTGGGGTCGGGACTGAGAATGGCACAGATGTAGTAAATACCAGGAGGTGGGACCAGGACTGGAAACACCGGTGAGCAGAGGGTAGGGGCCGATTAGGGAGGGAAGAAAGAACCTGGAGGGGAGAATCACCTAGAATTGTGCTGAGGAAGGAAAATCAGCCCCTCAGGCATGGCTAGTGGTTCCTGGAGTGGGAGAAAAAGTGGAAGTGGGAGGGCATCAGGGGTGGGGGTGTTCTGGTGGGACCCCAAAGAACCTTCGCTGTGTGACCTTCCGATGGCTGCCTCTCTGGGTCTTCCCCTTCAGTAAAATGGATGCTGGATGATTAAATAGATTCCCAGCTTGGGGTCCCAGAACCTGCCCGACTGTGGAGGCAGGAATGGGGGCCTACAAGTGCTCTTGAGAATTGTGTATTAAACGCTCCAATAGAATACAGATATTCCCCCCACCCTTAAGCCCTAAAAGCTCACCCAAGGCCTTGGAAGCATTTGTCTGCAATCAGAAGCTCAGCTTGAGTTAATTTAATGAGGGAAAAGTAATTATCCTTCAAGAAGTGAGGCTTGTTTGGGAGAAAAATCTCCCAAACTATAGGATCTTCGGGGGTGAAAATACTAAGATCCCAAACGACAGGATGCTCTGGGAATCTTTCAGGTCCCTGCCAGCTAGTTTATGAAAAAAGCCATTGCATTTGGGGGCTGTTTATACAGTGTCCCTCCAAGTTTGGTTGTTTAGCCCAGTGGAGACAGGCCTGGTTTGGATTCTGGGATGTGGGTTAGAGGGAGATGGTAGAATATCCTTTTCCTACCTGACGCCTTTCTCACCCTTTTTGTTTCAAGCTACCCTCCACTCTGGGATTATTGCAGGTGCCCCAAGGCCCCCACCCCTTCAGCCTGGCCTAGGGCTGCCCTTACAACGATTATGCATAGAATAAAGGCCAGGATTGCTGGGGAGGGGGCAGCCTCCTTCTTGCTGGGGGAAGGGAGGGGTAGAGAAGGCCAGGCACAAGAGGACCATCCCCCTCCCCTTGGGAAGTTTTCTGCTTCCAGGAACCAGGCCATCCCTAGACCAGGCCTTCGTCTCCCACTTCCACAATTTCCTACTCTTCCTCCTCTTGCCTCTACCTGGAGCAACCAAGAACCCAGGAATGTCCTAGTCCCTTCCCAACCAGAAGGGCACGTTAGAGTCTCTTTTTGGTCCAGCCCCAGTCTCAGAAGCCTCCTCTGGTTGGGAAGGGGGATCAGAGATTGCAGGCCCCACCCCCACTGCTGCCCAGTGGCTTGGCACTCACTCAGTCTCTTTTGTTGAGACATCACAAAGCACAGTACAGAGATTTGTAGCTCCTCCCCCACAGGCCCTATCTACAGCTTTACCTGGGAGGGAGCCATCCTGGGGTTACCAAAGGATGGCATGGCCCAGCACAGGTGGGGGGCAGTTGGGTCCTGGCTTTCAGTCCTTATCCTGTACCTGAACTCTCCCTGTACCCAGTGCAGGCTCCTAACCAGGGGCCCCCAGATTGAAGACCCCAGCCCTTGCCCTGCTCCCCATGCCAGGCACTTGAGGGGCCGGTAGTCCTTATCAGATGATGGTTCCCAAACCAGGCATCTTGTGGATGCCCAGACCTCCCTGGCTTTTTTGGTTGAGAGGGCTTGGAGCCAGGCAGTGGGGATTTAGAGTTGGACTAGAAAAGTCTCAAAGGAGTTTCCAGATTCTCCTGGGCTTCCCAGAACCTTATCAACGTTTTGAACCTGAGGTTTCAAACTGGTGGTGCACGGGTCAAATATGGGTGTTTAGTTTGGCTACTATTTTCATTAACTGAAGGCATTTGAATTTGCAACCCAGGTACCACTGCCCCAGAAAACCTTCTCCCCACTGCCTGAGGTTTCTATGAACTCCAAATCCAGGTGATCTCCAAGGGAAGGACTCATGGGACTTTAGCCCTTAGGAGGGCATTGGGGCCACCAGGCAAGACTTTTCCTGGATGTTCCTAGCCCCCTTGGCCTTGATCCTGAGACCTGGACATTCTCTAGGTTTTGCCCTCCCTGCCCTCTGCTTTCCTCAGCTCTCATGGGTGACAGGACTCTGTGGGACACAGGTGTAGCAGGGAGCTAGCTGGGGGTAAGGCAGATATGGGGGAGACACAAGGATGATGCAGATGAGAAGAGGGGACCAAGAAAGCCTTTCTTGCTGGGGAGTCCCCTGCTGGGGAGGGGTGGGGGTCTGTGCTGTCCAACCTGGGTGATAGTTACAAGGCACGTGGTACATCAGTGCATGGGGGTGTGATGAGGGGTGTGTGGTGCCTGGAGAGGTTTTGGGAGCACAGTCAGCAGCCTGGGGCATCAGTTCCAAAAAACGGAGACAGAAGTCGGCCCTGGGAATGGGGAAATGGTCTCGTGGGGATCGAGATACTGAGGGTAGAGTAGGTCTGGCATATTTGGTACTTAGAGTGTCCTGTTCTCTTCTATCCTGGGCAAATAAGATGGACCCAACTCCTTCTCATCCCTAGGAAAAGCCTAACTCTACCACATACTTCCTGTGTGGCCTTGGGCAAGTCCCTGGCCCTCTCTGGGACTCCATTTCTTCTCTATAGTAGATGGGAGGGCAGGTGGCTTAGGGGGCCCCAAGGGCCCCTCTGGGCTGTGGTTCTAGAACTTTCTCTCACCACAAGGACCCTGAAGGGATTCTGGGAAGGACTGAGCAGCCAGGCTAGTTTGGGGGACATGGAATGGGGAGCAGGAGGCAGGGACCCAGGGTGTCCAGTTCTGGCACAGAAGAGAGAATGGCTGAGGTAGATTGTGTTACAGGAAGGAAAATAAAACAGCTCGAATGGGATGGTCACTTCACCTCTCTGACACCTCCAACCCAGTGAAATCAGGGGGCTGGCAGGGACAAGATGAAGTGGGGGACAGGCCAGCAGAGAGAGGGACCTCAGGCCTGGGAGGGATGGGTTCTGAGCTCCTAGGTATAGAGGGAGCGGGGAGTCCTTAAGGGGCTGAGACCTTTCCTGAGGACGAGAGGCAGAAGGGGCCTGCAGCCCTCTCCTGCCGCTCTTTGTGACCGTTCTGGTGCTCAGGTGTCCTTGCAGGCAGAGGCCCTTGAGGAAAGTTTTGTGGGATTGAGGAGATGTGGGGGTGGGGTGGAGTAAGGTCCAAAACCTTGGCCGTGGCTTCCCGGAGAGCCTCAAGCCACACCTCAGCACTGCCAGCTCGTCCCTACTCTCTGGGCAGCTCCTGGAGCTGTCAGGACTCCCAGCTCCCACGGAGGACATGTAACCTTTCCTTCTAGGATGCTGGGGGTGGGGCAGCCAGATGGACCATCCTAGGACACTGCGGAGTAAAATAACTTGCCAAGGCTGAACTTCATGTCACCTCTCTGAGCCTCAGTTTCCTTCTCTGTCAGATGGATTGATAACACCTCTCTTATAAGGATGTTGGAAGCAACGGAGAGTTTAAGTGAAACAATACAGGTGAAAACTCTCAGCATGGTCAACCCAGGAGAAATGGTCAGTTGGATCTGGGTCCACATTCTCAATGCTCCTATCTCACAAAGGGGCATAGAATTTTGTCTCTGAAGACAGAGGAACACAGAACGAGGAGGATGGGGGAACCCACCAGAAAGAGCCTGGGTCAGCCTTAGGCTTCCCTCACCACCCATCACCTTGAGGCCTGATTCCTGAGGCATCTTAGGGATCAGGGAAGAAGAAGAAAGAAAGAAGGAAAAGCACTCTTTATGTGTTGACGGGAAGGATGCGCACACCATCTCGGCCTGTGTGGGTGTCTGTGCAGTCACCCATGATGCAGGGGACAGGCAGTGAGGTGACTTGTGTCTCATGTGTGATGTGTGCTTTTGCGTTTGTGTGTGTGTGTGTGCATGCACAGTCCTGCCTTCTCGGCCTTTGGAGTCACCCTGCACCCTGAGTGTGGCCCTCTCCAAGCACCCTCAGCAAATTCACTATCACCCATCACTATCGGATGGGGCAGCAGGAATCTAGGACCTTGTGAGACTAGCTGCCACTCTGGGCCTCAGTTTCCCATCTGTAATAACCCAAGGGAGGCTGAACCAGAAAGGGTTAAGTGCCCTTCTAATTTGCATAGTCTAGGATTCTTATGTCTACCCACCCCAGCTCAGGTCTACATCTGTCTTTAATATCACCTGCTGTGCCCTCGCAATGAACGCACCTTAGTAGGCATGGGGGGAGTGGAAACTTGACTTTGGGAGGAGGGGTTCCAAGCTTTGCTGAGAGGCTCTGCCCCTCACCTGACAGAACTGTCTACTTCTCTGGTCCCGTCCTCCTCCTCCAAGCTATCTGGGACTGGAGGGGAGTGGTGCTGGGTGAGTGGTCCCAAGGATACCCTGGGATTTGGGGCCATGGAAATGAACCACAGGTCCTGGAGGGTTGTCAGATCTGAGGCAAATCAAGTCAGTTTTACAGCTGCTGCCCCAGGGAGCTGCATCTGCAAGGTGGCTAAGAGCCAAGATGCCTGTCATGTCCCCAGAGCTACCTTTTTCCAGCTGGAAGCCAGTTGGCAGTTGAAATGTCTCAGGGGTTCTGAGGACAATTTCTTCTTGGGAAGATGGCTATGGACCAAGGCGGACAGGGGCACAGAACTCATATACACCTCCGAAGTCTAGAACTGGAGTACCTGTTCCTTGATATTCCACTCACATAGGGTTCTAGAGCTCCCGCCCCCGCCCCCAAGCAGGAGCTAGAATCCCCCGTGGCAGAACATCAGGCTGCCAGTCACCCCTTTATAACAGAATCCAGATCAGAGTGACTCCCTAGGACACTATCAGCTATGTGTCCCAGAATTTAATCTAGAACTAAGACTGTCCCTCTAGAACAGTTCCTCTGCTACATATGCCAGAACCTCATCTACAACTGAGCCCAGAGTATCTTTCTAGACAGTTGTGTTCCAGACCTTTATCTAGAAGAAATGTTCTAGATGCTCACTAGAACAAAGAATGGCTCCTTGAAACATTTCACCTGAGGTGTCTGGGACCCCATCCATAAGAGAGCCCACAACAAAGGGTGTTTCCTGAGGAACATTCTCTATGCTCCGGATCAAGGTTCCCCTCCCCTACATCTGCCTCCCTTTCTAGCTTCTGCCAGCCTGGACCCCTCAGGTGTCTCAGGGTTCTTCCTCTTGTCCAGCTCCAACACTGTCAACCCTCCCCACCCCAACTCCCCACCCAACCCCAACTCCCTCCTTTAATTCCCCTCCTGCCCAGGCTCCAGAACTCAGACCCCATAGGAACTGGAGCAACTTTGTCCACCAGATGTTCCCACTTCACCCCACATCTTCCATGGCCTCCTCCATCCTTCTCAGAGATCTCCTCCCACACCCCCATACCCCCTGATGAGCACAGGGCCTAGGTCATGGACCCCCTTCTCTGGTGGGTCCACCAGTTGAGCAACTCCTGGCAGGGGGGAGGGTATGGGGTCCCTGGCACCAGCCATGATACAGAGGCCTCCATGAAGGTGGGACAGCTCACCAGGAGCATAGCACCAGTTGGTTCCCTGGGCCCCGGTTCAGGGGAGTTTAGGAAATGGGCCACAGGGCTGAAAACAGGGCCAAGGGCTGGGGCCTCCACAAGGCTGCCTCCTCCCATGAAAGAACCCAGTGGTGGGGCCACTCTCCTCTTGGACCCACAGATCCATTCCCCCCTAGCCCAGTGGCCCTGAAATTCTGGGCTCAACACTGTGGTCGATGTGGGGTCAGCCAAAACTCATCCCTTCTTGGGGGGAGACTGGCCTACACTGTGGTCTCATACTCCAGCAGCTCCTGGGAGGTCCCGATGCTTCGGTACTGCAACCGGGGCGTTGTGGGCGAGGAGTACTCCAGCGCCAGAATGGTCTTCCGGAGCCGTCGGTCAATGAAATGAGCATCCCATGCAGGATACTTCTTACGAGGCAGGTCAATCCGAATGACGGGCCCCTCTGTCCGCAAGGTGCGGGCCACGGGTGTAGGAGGCAAGCCAGGCCGCACCTGGAAGACAGGCGGTGTGGGAGTCCCCGCACGCTCGCCTCCCGCTGAGACCCCATCCCGCTCAGTGCCTGTAGTCCTGGGCAGGGACCTTGGGGGACTTGTGACAGCATCTGCTGGTGGGCCACAGGGCCCTGGAGCCTCACGGCAGATGCAGCCAGGCGTCTGGGGACCCAGCATGGGTCCGTTGGGGTGCAGGAGGCAGTAGTAGACACACATGAAGAATATGCCCAGCGCGAAGCTGGAGGCCACCACGCAGACCAGAATGAGCGAGTGGAAGTCGGTGGAGAAGTTGTGGCTGCTGTACCAGAAGCCGGTGAGCGCGGCGTTCTCCAGCAGGACGATGCAGTAGTAGAGGGTCATGCGGCGGCGGCTGCGGCCCTCCTTGACGTTGAACCAGCAGAAGATGTAGATGATGCCGACCACCATGTTGTAGATGATCTCTTCCCACTTGGACATGCAGAAGTCCGTCTCACCCTGGATAACCCAGAAGGTCATGACGCACCAGTGGGCCACGATGAAGATGCCAAAGTAGAGCTTGTAGACGCTGGCAAAGAGTGCAAAGGCCAAACTGCGAGCCGCGATGGTGAACAGGTGCCACAGCACCTGGGCCACAGCACCCTTGTAGGACAGAGGCCGCTTGTCGTCCCGTGAGTCCCGCAGCACCTTCTGGTAGGAGGCCAGCGTCCAGGCCAGGGACACGAGTGAAGCCGAGGTGGAGAGGGCTGCGAAGACAGGGTCGGGGCGGGGTGGGCTGGGTTAGGGGTGGGTCTGGGTTGGGGTCTGGGGAAAGGGGGAGGGTTCTGGGTCAGGAGCTGGGTTCTGAGGAGGTGTGAGGAAAGGCTCTATAAATCAAGAGGGGTGTGGGGAGGGTCCAGGTGGGTGGTCTTCAAGAGCAATGGTGCAGGGGTGAGAGTGGATAGGGTTGGGTATTTCTACCGGGGTGGGAGCATAAAGGGAGAGGGAAGGTGTATGGTTTTGGTCTTCATAAGTTTCAGGACCAAGTATCTAGTTTGGGGCTGTTAGAGTTCAAGGGTCTTGGTGAAAGGGTGGGAAAATAGGTTCCAGGACTCTGGGAGTGAAAAAGGAGGTGAAGGGGAGGGAGGGGGTCACAATTAGGGCACAGAGGAGCCAGAGGGGACTTTTAGAAGCTATAGGCCACCAGGATGTGGCTGGGGTGTGAAGAGGGATCTCCAAGCTGAGCACTGCTGAGGGCATGGGAAGAAAATCCCAGTGGGAAGTTTTGACTAGGGCCCAGTCCTGGGCAAGGGATGATTGCCAAGGGCCTGAGAGGTGGTAATGGGGTCTCTTGAAACCCTGCCAGTATGTTGGGCAGTGTCTGCATGGGAGGAGTGTGGGGAGCTCCAGGGAGACTGGCTATGTGTTTTATCTCTGACGTTGAAGGGATTGGCCCAGTCTGTTGGATCAGAGAAAGGGGCAAGGTGGGTGGGTGGGGTGACTACATGGGAACCAGGACAGGAGTTTTAGCCTGTTGGAAGGAGTCCCCAGGGGCTGAAGAGCAGCAAGAGGGTATATGGAAACACTCTGGAAACTGGTGGTGATTAAGAAGGTCTGTGAGGCGGTGGGGGGGAGGGGTCCCCAGGAGATTCAGGCTGGGACCAGGACAGCCTGGAGAAAGAAACAGGCAGGGGACTTCCCTGAGGGTCTGAGGTGTGGTGATGGGGTCAAGGGCCTCTTCGGACTTAGCAGAAATGGAGTGTCTGTTCCACCCTGGCAATGGGGAAGGGAGGAAAGTGGGAGGGGGGAGCGCGCAGGGGGCCTAAGAGGAGGCAAGAGGTGTCGGGAGTCAGGTCTCTTATCTGAGGGTAAGAGGGCCATCAGAGGGGACATGGGAGTCTCCAGAGGCCTGGAGGATAGTGAGAGTAGAAGGGGGGCCTCCAAAACCTGGACAGTGAGTGGGCTGGGGGTAGGGGTGGCAGGAGGAGTGGGGAAATGGGCAGGGCCTCCCCAGGGGACCTGAAGCTGCGAGAGTAGACAGGTAGGGCCATCAAAATACTGAAGATGCGTGAGCCCCGGGGCGGGCAGGGCGGAGGGGCGGGGCTCACCGGGCAGCAGGTCCGGCACACCGCCGCGTTGCACCAGGAAGCTGAGCTGCAGCACCAGCTGCGGCGCGCTGCGCAGGAAGGTCTCCAGCAGGCGCAGCATGCTCACGTCTGCGCTCTCAAACAGCATCTGCCAGTAGAAGTGGCGCCGCAGCCGTTCCCCACGCCAGCGACTCTGCAGCCCCAGGTACATGGCGCGCAGGTACCTGCGGGAGGACGCGGTGCTCAAGGGGTCAGGCTCTCTCGCGCTCGTGCCCCTCGCCCCCTCCCAACTGGTCCCTGGCCACCCAGCAAGTGCAAAGGGCCAGGGCGCAGTGTAGCCCTGGGAAAGTCACTGTGCTCAGCTGCCAAATGGACATATTGAGAGGATCGCCCCACCGGACTGTTGTTGGGCAGCTCCCAATGGGCTCACTAGCTTAAAGCCCTGGCACAAGTAAGCCTTTAATACAGCGTTGTCAGCATCGTTATTGCTATGGCAAGTAGGGCCTGCTTTCTTTGCAGGATTCCTGATATCTTACCCTGGGCTTACAATAGTCCTATTATCCCCATCTTATAGATGAGGAAACTGAGACCCAGAGAGGTATATCACTTGTCCAAGGTCACACAGCTTGGAAGCAATGGAACCAGGATTCAAACCCAGATGGGCTGGTCTCAGGCCCATACTCTAACCATGAGACAACACTGCCTCTCACTGAAAGCCATAATGAGTTTGCCCACACAAAACATTCTTCAGAGGCAGTCCCTGGTGCCAGCCCCAAGTCCTGTTGCCACTAGGAGCTTCCTGGCCTTTTCCCCAACCCCATCTCTGAGAGCCCAGTTCTCCCCATAGGGAAGCTGCTCATAGATCCCCCTGCATTTGAGACTTTGCCACTTCCTCTGGTGCCACTTCTCCCAACAAACTTCACAGCTCCAGCTGCTCTGCACACGTCACAGATTCTAGAGATCACAATGCTAAGTTTTTGCATCTGCTGTTCCCTCTGCCTAGAATACTGTGCCCTGCTCTCCAACCCTACCCCAGCCCCAAACTTGGATAACTCTTGTTTTTCTTCCAAGGATCAGCTTTTAAATATGACTTCTAGGTAGGCAGCCTCTGCTGACCTCCCTTCACCCAGGGTAGGGGCCTCTCCCCAGCTGCCCTCCAACCCCAGTACTCATCACAGTGGGTTGTAACTGCCTGGTTTATGCACTCCCCCCAGACTGAATTCCATGAGGATGACGAGGTCAGCTTACTAACTGCTATGCACCTCACAGTAGGTGCCACTCTGCGTCAGCAGAATGAATGAATGTGTGCATGATTGCAAGTTGGTTTAACTGAGTGGAACTCTAGTAACCCTGTAGGCAGTATGGAAGGGATCCTGAAGTCCTGAGCTTAGTTCCTGACTTTGCCTCTAATCTACCATGTGATTTTGGGCAAGATCCTCCCTGAGCCCTGGGTGATCCCTCCCAAAGTGGCTGTGAGGGTTAAATGGATGAGATACTTTGCAACTATAAAGTGCAGTGACCGTTAGGGTGAAAAAGGACCTGTCCACACTGCAGCCACAGACCCTGCCCCTCCAACCCCCAAATTTTCTGATGCACGCAACAGGCTAAAACCAGAGAGGGTGCCTCTAGAAATGATATCCCCCAAAACCATGGGAGAAAATCCTACCAGATTCAGTGACTCTACTGCCTGAATGCAAAATCGGGCAGCCAGGGTTTGGGGGGTCTCTTCCCAGATATGAAGTGCCGGCATTTCCAGGATGTTGTTTTGGGACTAACTGTGTTCAGTTGTGTCACCAGCCCAAGGGAGGAACCACAGTGCTCCCTGGAATTTGTGACCAGCTGATACCCAAACTTTCCCCGAATGAGTAGCCTGGTCTTAGCAATGGTGTGGCCCTCTCTGGGCCTCAGTTTCTTTATCTGGCAACAAAAGAGATGGGCTTGATGACACTGGAGGTCCTTTCAGAGCTAATGTTCTGGGACCCAAACTCTCCCCCCACAATACGTAGCCAGAAACATCCCATTTAGGGCTCTCCTTCCCACCCCTGGGTCTTCCCAGGACCAACCAGTGGTATAGACACACCCTCAGTGTGACACAGTGTGGGACTGGCAGCCAGGAAGGGGAAGAGGGCTGTTCTCTCAGAAGCTGGCTCAAGAAATGTGAAGGTCCCGCGGTCTAACTCTCCCATCCAATGCTGGAATCCCTCCAGCATTTCCCAGCCCCACGCACTTACACACCTGCTCACACACTTTCCAGAACAGGGAGACCCTACCTCCTGAGGCAGGGCCTTGGGCTTCTGAGCAGCTCCAGGGCTGAATGATATTTCTTCTGATGAGCAGAAATTTGTATCCCTGTAACTTCTATTCTCTGGGCTCCTGCGTACCCCCCACAGAAGGATCTCTCGAGTTAGAATCACTCATTCATGTCTCTTGACCCCTTGCTCTGTGCCAGGCCCTATGCCTTTAAGTACCTCACAACCCCATGGGAGAGAGACAAGCTGAGAGCTGAAATAGATGCTCGAAGATGCCATGGAACCCAGAGAAGAGATGGGTAACTTTAGCTGGGGGAGGGAGTCAGGGAAGGCTTCTTGGAGGAAGAAACATTTGATCTCTATTCTAAAGCACGTGTAGGTATTTGAAGGCACACAAGAGGCGGAAGGGTATGCCAGGTGGAAGACTCAGCTGAGACAAAGGTATAGAGGCATCAGAGAACATGGCTTTTTAGGGGAATGGCCAGTGTTTTGCCAGGCCTGGAGGGGAGGATTTTCTCTGGCAGGGGCATAAGAAGACTAGAATTATGAAGGGCATCAAATTTTGGACCAAAGAGTTCATATTTTATTCTAAATCTGAATTCTATCCCAGAATCAGGGGTGATACGATCAGCTCAGTGGCTTAGAAAGCTCGCTCTGGAGGCCAGCTGGGAGAAAGGCCAGGTGAGGCTGGGGTTTGGTCCAGGACTGAAATGACAGGGCTAAGTTAAGGCAGGGCACAGAGGACGGGCCGAGGGCAGAGCTGGAGATGGCCGGAAGTAGGGGTGACTAGGGGAGACACCAAGATGTTTTCCAGAGCTTCTCAGGGCTCAGAACACAGATCACCTTTCCCAGCCTGCATCTCCTCCCTCCCCATTCCCTTCCCCAGTCCTGTGGCTCTGGCTTTGAACAGGAAGGAGAGACCAGCTGGTCCAACGTGAAGGGGCCTAGGGAGCTGGGGGAGGGCAACACCCTGGAAGTTTCTCTCAGGCTGGAAGACCATCTGTTTCCCGGCCTGGGTCAGCATGAGGGAGGCCCCGGCTCGGCCAGCATCCATCACCATCTGACAGGCTGCCTGCCCACCTCCCCGCCTACTCCTGCCCCCTCCTGTGCCAGCTCCCGACACCCCATGCGCCCCCACACCCCAGCTAGCCACAGACAAAGGGCACATCCAGCCAGGGCTGCTGTGGGCTGGAGCCAGGAAGGGGGAGGGGAAGAAAGAAGGCCACTGAGACCCAAGAGCATGGGGTCAGCGGGAAGCATGGAAAGACCATGCCGCAGTCTGAGGATGAGCGGGCCGGTGTTCAGCCTTATTCTGCCCTCCTTTGGAAACAGGACCAAAAACTGGCGGTCCCTTCCAGTGAGGACTAAATGCTCGCTGCCAAGGGCTTCCGAGGTTTTCATGGGTCTAGGAAAATGTTAGAGGCCTGGGGGAAAAAATTGGCTCTGAAACACAGGGAAAAACTGCAGAATCAAAAATTAATAAATGTTTAATTAAATGTCTGCAAAATAGAACATGATATCAGCCGGTCAACTGCAATTTGGCTTTTATCTAGTTATATATAATTTACCTTTGATGTTTGATATGGCTGCATTTTAATGTGCTTGATAGATGTGGGGCCCACACAGGTCTTAAAACAGCCCTGCCCAGGACATTCAACCTGATTTCCCTGGACCTCAGTTTCACTTTCTCTAAAAAGGGACTAACTCCTTTATTTGTAGGTTTGCTTTCCAGCCCTGCCCTAGATGCTGTGTGACCTTGAGTAATCTCTCTGCCTCTCTGAGTCTCATTTTCCCCCTTGTGAGCATTTCTAACCTATACATAGTGACAGGGAACATGTGCTAGCCGGAGGCCTCTGGTTCCCCCTGATCGCCAAGAAGCCTCTCTTTTATAATTGAAATGTAGTTGGCATACTAGCAGCCTCCCTTAAAACCTGTGCCAGGGAGCCCACTCTATTCCACTCTATTTGAAGGGAAGTTGGAAGAAGTTGATTTTCCCAGCAAATGGGACAGATAGCCCCCGCAGAGAAGGATGCCCCATCTTAGGGAAAGGAGTCCAGCCTTGGAGGCAGTGCCTCTGCTCTCCTTCAAAACACATCTCCTGTCTGTCTATTCCCTCATTGCCACCACCCTGGTCCAGGCTACTGTCATCTTCTGCCTTCTCAGTAAGCACCCTGCATCTGCTCCTGCCCCCTGTAGTCCACTCTCCACATGGCAACCAGTGGGATATTTTTTAAACGGATTATGTCAGATTGTGTCATTCCCCTTCTCAAAAGCTTCCAAGGGCCTCTCATCCCACTTGGAATAAAGTCCAAGTTTCCCTTGGTTTGCAGGCCCTAGACCATCTGCCCTGCCTGTCTCTCTCACCTCATGGCAAACCACTCTTTCCTTTGTCCCGGCACTCCCGATGCCCTGGAGGTTCCTGGAAGCCAGCCACACTTGTTCCTGACTCCGGACCTTTGCACTTGCTACTTGCTCTGCCTGGCTGAATCTTCAGCTCCCACATCACCTTCTCAGAGAGACCCTCCCCAAGGCCACTCATCCCATGTCAGCCCCTCCCCCATTGCTAAATCACTCTCATCTCTTATATCACTTATTTTCTTAATATACACTATAAACAATCTTTTAAATTAATTTACACATAAATTTTCTATTTTACTACCATGGCTTGCTGAGGGTTGGGACCTCATTTGTCTTGGTCACCATTGTGTGCCCAGCATCCATACATGTAGTAGGCACTCAATTAAGTGTTTGTTGAATGAATACATGTGAGTGAGTGAGTGTGAGTGTCTCCCTCCTGACCTTGGAGGCCCTGGGGCTTCTCTGCCTGTTTTCATAGAGCTAGCACATCTGTCCTTCTTCCTCCAGGAAGCCTTCCCCAATGCTCCTCAGCCTGGTTGGGCCTCCCCAACTCTAACATCTCCCAGCCTTAAACTGCCTGAGGCTGGCTTGAGCCAGAACCTAACAAAGAGTTTCTA